GCGAAGGGACATGTGGTTGAGATCGAGGACACACCGCGCAGCAGTGTGGCCCGAGATCTCCTGTCTGAAATTTCTCTCCTGTGGTAGGAGGGTTGAACATGGCAGCTTGCAGTGCTCTTGAGCTGGGAGCTGCTTTGGAGGTCTTGGACTGGATTCAGGAGCCCATGCAGGATGCCGAGGACGCCTACGATCAGGGCTACGAATATGTGCGGCACATCATCCTGGAGGCTTGGGCGAACACCAAGGCGAGCGATCGGGAGCTTTTGGCTCCGTTCCTGGACCTTTTGACCAGTCTTAAGTGTCGTTCCGAGGTCCCTGTCAAAACTGCGGTCCCGGCAGGTGGCTTCCACAGCTTTCGTACATGTCTGGAGGAGCGGAACCATCATGTCAGGATTTTGCAGGACCGGGCACTTTGGCTTTGGGCCATAGTCCCGAAATGGGGCGCGGCCCGATGGAGCGTGCAGTATCTGCTCAGCATGGTGGACATTGCCCCTCAGGACCGTTGCCGGGGTTAGCTGTTCAGGTGTCTTTCGGCCTCAGCGGCCTAATATGCTTGTGCTCATGCCAGCTTTCAGTTTCGTGATAGTCTTGGCTCAATGGCGGCTGAGCTTTGGGAGGCTCTCCGCTCCAGGGGCATAGCTGAGTTCGCCCCGACTTTCGTACAATGTCGTGTCTTTTCCATTCAGGAGGTTTCTCTTAGAGCAGACGTGCTGTTGGGGGCCGGAGTGCCATCGTGGGCGATAGAGCTGACGGCGCGAGGATCAGAAGGTCCGGCACCCCTGGTTTCGGACCAGCCCCGCCGGCGTGGGGATTTTCCCAAGAGTCCCACGTTGCAGAGGGCCAACTTACAGCTGGCTTTGGAGGCGGCCAAGCCAGCCAACTTGGTGGCCACACTTTCGGCTCTGGATGCCGACGTGCTGGCGGTTTCCACGGCGTCCAGCAATGCGTCCCGGGTTCGACTATATGAGTCCATTTGCCGCATAGCCGAGGTGGAGGCTTGGCCGGTGTCGCAGCGATCGGCTAGGATTTTCGCTGGGTGTCTCAAGCAGGGACACTATCGCAGCATCAAGGTTTACTTTTCGGCCGTTCTGGGGCATCAGCTGCGAATGCTGGGGACAGCGGCACCTCCCGAGGTGCAGCGGTGCATAACCGACTCGATCAGGTCGGCTTTGCGGGGCGCCGGTCCCGCACAGCTGAAGGATCACTTTCACGTGCCAGTTTTGCGGAAGCTTCTGCAGCGCGAGGCTGGGCAGGATGGCTTCACTCCATCGAACCCGGCACATTGGGCCGACGTTTTGCTCATCTGTTCATGGTGGATGTTTCGAGAGGTGGAAGCGTCAGCAGCCCAGGTGAGCCACGTGTCCATGAATACTTCGACACAGGAGGTTACGATTATGCTCCCGGTCCAGAAGACAGATGCGAGGGGCATGTTGTGCAGCAGAACTTTGAAGTGCGCGTGCAGAGTTGCGGTCCAGGACTTGTGCCCCTATCATGCTATGAAGCGGCACCTACTTCGTTTGTCCCAAGGAGGCAGAGAAGCGGTTTCGTCCAGGGCGCCACTCTTCCCGGGGGCGGATGGCAACGTCATCACCAAGGACTCCTTCGTGCGGCTGGTGAGGGACACCTTGCAGTCCTGTGGTGTGGAGGTCACCAAGGAGTACGAAGGACAGCTGTTGCAGCGGTTTACCGGCCACATCGCTCGAGTGAGCGGGGCGCAGTGGCTTCACAAC